AGATAAAAAGATAGATGCTATTAGTATTGTTAGATGCTAACCTTTAAGATGATCATTAGAGCTACAATAACCAGCCAAGACAAACCATAAACCTGCAACCATAAAGATAATAATAAATGAGGAGCAAAAAAATATTCAGAAGTTCCATGCAATCTACAGTTTCACTGGCCAGATAAATAATGGCTGGGAAGAAGCATTTTTCTTTTAACAAAAAATATTTAAAGGGTTTTAATAAATTGAAAAAGAAAGAGAAAAAAACTTCTAGATTCATTTGGTATTTCCTTTTTGGCAGACAAAAGTAGAAAATAAGTCAATTTATTCGGAAATGAATCTGAAAGAAATCACCATAACTTTGAAATTAAAATTTGTGGTGCTCACCAGGATACTTTTGTCATGCTGGGTTACATGCAACTGATAAACAATTCCATACTGGTACAAGAAGAATCTGAGAGACAGTATGATTTCCCAAAACCTCCCTGAAAAACCAGTGTATTGGAGATGTTCTTGCTCCTCACCCCACCATGATTCCCAACTCTTGGTAGCTGGGACACCTATACCACCATGGTTACTTATCCACTTAGTCCAGTCCTCAAAGTCCTCCACTATCTTTTGCCATTCAAATCCCGATGGATTGAAAAGAAAGGGAGCAAACAACCAGGAAATAACGAGAAACCACATTGAGAAGGTGAGGGCAAGAGAACTCATAGAGTCTGGAGTAGGTTTCCCATAAGCTTGATAAACAATAAGCAGAGTCATCAGCTCCAGAGCTTTCGTGAAATGACTTCTTGAGTACATTCTGTAATTCTCGGCAAACTTTTCGTGTTTAACCACAAAACCACGACCAGTGGCCCTGTATTTGGCCCCACCATGCAAAAGTGTTCGGCCAAAGTAATGGAGCTTTGTGCCAAGGGAGAAAGTAAAAAAGACAGCTGCCAGTTGGAGTTGCATGATTATAATGTCACCAGCTGCAGTTCTAAAGCCTCTCTCCAATCCAATTTCCATAATCATGGGCAATGTCATCAAGATACCAAGTTGAACAATGGATTGAGAGGCTATGACAGCCGTAAGAGCATCATCTCCTTTAGCTCTTGCAAATCTGACTATTGTCTTCTCGAGTCCACTTAATGAAAGATAGAGCTTACCATACAAGCAAGCATACACTGTAAGGACCACCAACTGCATAGTGCATACATCAAGGAACGGTGTTATCATTTAATGCCATAGCTTACACCAAATGTTGTAGTCAAGCAGCTGAAATATTAGGGTAGAGCTAACTAGAGCTTGGGATTGTACAATAGGTAATTTTCCCATTTCCAACAAGATAGCAAAAGATTGTGAGTACATGGGATAAGTCTAACCATAATTACTTAACTATTTATAATATATTAATGGAGCTCCTCTCGAACTTTTATTTTTTGTTATTTTTCTCTACAGAAATGAAAACAAAGGATAGAATCACCAGCAAGACAGCTTGTTATAGTCAAATTTAATTTTATAAATTATTAAAGAAAACTCTGGTTCACATATCCTGAGTCAAGATCAGGTGAGGAATACATTACCATTGAGCTCACATAAAAACCAGTGGTTGTATAGTAACATGACAGCATGCGGAAGAAGTCAAACCGATGCCCTAATCTGTAGATATCACGGCTGAGGGTCTGCTCCCCGTTACCACATGCAACTTTGGCTTCAAAAAGCGAGATCTGATTGAGACCTACATCGCGACCCTTCCCAACTTGAATGTATTCATGGTGAGTTATATTTCCACGTCTTAGTGTTGAATTAAAACCTTCAGAAAAGAAGGCACATTAGAATGCATGTATAATGTGAGAATAAATGGTTTTTAAGTTCTCACCAGCAAAAATGTCCTCGCTAAGATTGATTCCTCTAGAAGCTTTGCTTATGCCTCCTCGGGTTATGTGGAAAATTCGGTCAAAAACGTCTGGATGTCCATAATGGAAGCGCACTCTGTACAAAAGAAAACATTTTGGAGATAGTAAGTTCTATGAAGCTCTGCAATTGAAATAAGTCAAAGAGGGAATATTGATAAAGCATAACCTGAACTTTGTAGAAACATTATTGGAGTAGATTTTTTTTTTTAAAAGCTAACATGTCATGTCACAAAACTTATGTGATATTAGTAGGTGGACTAGGGAGGACTGAGATTTTTTTACCAATTTACCATTCAGGGAAGATCTGAACCCTTTCATTTCCTCCTTGACAATGGGGAAAATGTTACAGTATCGTAGAGCTTTTATACTGTGAATTTCCAATATTGTACATTGACATCTTCTGAGTACCAGCAAAAGATATGAGTGCAACCCTCTACTAAAAAGAGTATAGCAGTACGTAATTTCTTGGAAATCTACTGAACCCAAACCAAGTAATAGTTCCAATTTTGTTGATAGCTTTATTTATGAATACTTTATTTATGAAAAAATCATGAAGATAGAAGAACATACTTCAGAGGCCTTGCAAGAACTCTTTGGCCAATAGTGACAAAGCTTGTTTCTTGGTTTGACATGAACCAAGCCAACGATGAGACACTGCAATTAAAGATGAGAAATGTTTCATGAAAGCTAAACATGAATATACACAAAAACAGACCACAAGTTGCAACAACTACCCCCACCTTCCAGTGAAAATATGCTCACGAACACCTAGGATTGTAGGTGGCCGTACCCCATGATCTTCATTAAATTCTTCAAGTAGATTACGCATTTTAAAAGCTTCTTCCAAATAATTATCCTACAAAAGAGTCGAGAAAGTTGATTTGCTTCCATAAGATCTTTATTGAAGTAATGACTTCACACTTCTTCATCATTACCTGGTTCATATCAATAGTCTGAAGAGCCTCTCCACGAGTAAAAATTATAGCATGATTTTGGTTTTCAGGTTTCCCTTCTCCTATCTTTGCTGACCCAGGCAGCTTAATACGGTAGATTTCCTTTATAAATGAAACAAAATAGAATCACCCTTGAAGTCAAATGAATTCACTTTGGAAGGAACGAATAAAGAGAAAAGAAATTACCTGATCAAGATTATCTACAGCTTTAACCAATACAGAGTAATAAAGCTTCTGATTTCTTCCGCCTTCTCGTTCCTCAACTTCATCTATATATGCTACACGAAGAGAAGGATTGCTGCAAAGTAGTAGAAAGACCATTACACGCAATTAAATGAGCAAATTAGCATTCAAGGTAACAATACTTCACTAGATATTTTGAATGGGCACATTAGGATTAGATGAGAGAAGAGCTCTACTAGACTAATTAGTATTTCTTCTGTTTGTAAGTGAAAAAACTTACTTAACCAACAGGTTTAAAATGTCAGTTGCATGCCGATCTCCACTTCTCCTCTGGTTCCCATAGTTTTGGCAAGTAGCAACATAAGTGAACTTCATATCAGCTATAGCGCCTAACTGAGTAGACATGGATCTTTGGTTCTTCTTATCTGCTGCTGATGGTTCAGTAATAGTTCTATAGCCATCAAGTATCTCTGCTGACATTAAACAACAGCAGTCAGAAAGTATATTAGTAGACAGATAATTACTTATGCGATTTGTGTCCTGAAATATAATTTACTTAAAATCTGTTTGAGCCGTTTGCAGTTGCAGGTGAAGAATATGTTGAGAATAAAGCAATGTTTTAAGAAATGGATGACTCGTATGAGTTGAATCAGGAGTCAAGGCGAGGAGGTGGACTATTGTACCGAGCCATACAAGCTAAAGGTGAAAATAGAAACACTCAGGTCCTGAGTGTGATGCAGACGTTGAGTCGACTCGAACGAAGCAGACCTATTTTTTTTTTTTTTTTTTTTNTTCATCGTCTTTTACCAGACATCTTTATCCTTTCAAGCCCAGTCGAAAGAGGATGACGAAAGAGAAATCAGATAATGTTACTATTAATGACCCTTCAACGGTGGAGCATTGAGAAGTCGCAAATGAATTGTTTGACGAGCTCTTCAAAACAGTGAACATGGATTATTCCTGATGAAAGTTGATTAGACCATTGAAAAAGCATGAGTGTTCTACTTCGTACATACGATATGTGGTACAAAGAAACTTGTTATGTGTTGTTTGTGTATATTATGAGATAACTTTGTTGTTTTTAATCTATTTTTTAATTTATTAGTATTAACTATTAATGTTGGAAATTGTGTTGGCTTAATAAAATTTTGCACACGTCTTTGCAGAAAAATGAGGCTTGAAGTTTAGGAATAATAAAGTGCACACTAACTTTCATTTATTATGTTTCAAAAATTAATCCTCTAGCTAAGTTATAGTCTTTTTCTCTTATATTTCTGCGGGCTGACCAGTGGTAGCACAACATTTAATCACTAACTGAGACATCATATTGTGAAATCTTCCTTTTGTCAACTTTCATCTCATTCACATTCTCAAAGAGTAGTTGCATGTTAGAGGAGAAGACTTTTTTATTACCATCTTCTGTAGCCATGTCTAGAAAAGCTTGAAGCTTCAATGCCCTCCGGTAATACATCATCCCTCTGACTGAATGAAGAAACATATTGTTCAACTAACAATTTTGAATTAAGAGAGCATTCCAGATGAGGAGAAAGGGAATTCCAGCCAAAACGATAGACTCAACCAACCTGTTCTGCAAAGAGTTTGTCCTCTTAAGGAGGCCCAATGTCGTAACTGCAGTATGTTCTCCTCGTTTTCCCAAATTTCAGAATCTTTGCAATTCAAACGTTCCATGAAGTTGTTCCACTCATCTGAACAAGTATTATTATAGATGTTGATAAAATGGCACCATATTGGAAATATCTAGCAATGAAAATAATCTTTCAAATATGCATATTAAGAACAATAGCAAACCTGGATAAATCTTTTGTAGATAATACAAAATTGACACACCGTCTTCATTTTCCATTTCGAGGTCAATCTTTGAGTAGAGAGTCTCCTCACTGTAGTAGGGAGTCATGACACTACAATGACAGGTGCCAATTTTAAATTTTGGAAGACAACGCCGTAGCATGATTAGTCCAAAAATGACAAGCATATGCAATAAAAACCAAATGACCTTTGTAATCGATCTACAGTTTGCTTCTAAAACCATGATTTTTTTTTCATATCATCCTTATACTAAAGATGTACTGGCTTCGTAAATCACTCTACGGGTTGAAGCTCGAGCTTGGTTATAGATTTAGTCAAATCATAAACAAATTTAACTTACTCAGAGATTTAAGTCATTGAGTATTCTACCTGCACTCCAACCATGGGATAATTCTGATTTATGTTGATGATACTGTAGTTAACATCGAATGGCACTAATGGGATTGCAGTGTTAAAAAGACATTTCTCCATGCACATTTTCAGACGAAAGACATGAGATATTTGAAATTTTTTCTAGGAGTGGAACAACTTAGAAGGAAGAAAGAAAATTCTCTTTTAGAGGAAGTAAGTTCTTAACCTTCTTAAAAAGACCGGGAAAAATAGGGGCTAAGTCATGTAGCACTCCGATGAATCCCAACTTGCAGTTAGAAAAGACTGATAGCTAACCATTCCATGACCATAGTAGGTATTGAAGACTTGTGGGGAATCTGAATTATTTCACGATAATACATCCTGACATCGCTTTTGCAGTAAGTGTCGCTAGGCGATTCATGTCGGCTCCTACTATTGCTTATTCTACACTTGAGCAAATCTTGTGTTACATAAAGAGTGTTATAGGAGGTGGATTGTTTGATGGTCGACAAGGTTACTCATGTCCTTTACTAAAGTAATTGAATCATACTCTAATGTCGACTATGCAGACTAAAAGATGAAGGTCAACTTTCAAGTATTGTGACATATGGAGATAATCTTGTATTATGGAAAAGCGAGAAACAAAATATTGTTTCTCGTTCGGTTGCCAAAACAGAATATAGGTTCATGGCTGATTCTACGAGTGAGATAGTTGTCACTTTTGTTCGTGACAAAGTGGAAGAAGGGTTCATTTCTACTTAAATCAGAAAACCAGCTTTTAGACATTCACTAAAACCGTGAACGCTGTAGGGATGAAAACCATTTGTAACAAGCTTGACATAATTGATATATCGTATATATGCTCCTGCTTGAAGAGGAGTGAGTATATATGGTAGGTTAAAGCACAATTAAAGGGGATTTTTGTGATCCCTTAGATTAGAAATTGTGAACATAGTTTCAACTTCCTAGAGTTGTAGTCAAGTTCAACGGTTCTCAACTTGTGAAGCAATAAGTTTAGCACTTTCAGTTGACAATAATCACTTAAGGTGGTTTTTTAACAAATCACCAATGTTTCCGTGCTAGCTAAACTCTAATGTTACTCTTCGAACAACAGTTCATACTTGATCAAGAAGTATTAGACAACCAAAATAGAACGACCAAATTATTCAGAAGCATTGAAACTTCCAACAGTAACCAGCTAGTTTTTAAGTAACTAATAATGAAATGGAGGAAATATAGGCGCCACATACTATGTGCATTGCATATAATGGAAAAAATATGAACAGCACCTGAATGACAGCATTTTTCGCACTTGAGGAGCGTGCGGCATATACATGAAAAGTGAATTCGTAAAAAATGCTATTCTCCGTCGTGCTTCAAGGTTTGTTGGGACATCAATTGCAGATTCCTTAACTGTTAGTAGCAAATAAAGGCGCCGTATCTGTGATTCAAACAAACAAAGTGGTGCTTTACATACTGACCACTTGATGTTCCACATTTTTGTTAAAAGGGGTGTGCCATATCTCTGGTGCAAATTCAGACACATATGTACCTGTTCTTCCCATTGTGCTGTATTTGGGGGAGGATACATGATATTTGCAAAAAGTTGCTTGCCAGACTCTTTGCTTCCCTGACCAAGTTCAGCAAGTTCACTGCAGTTGGTAAAGCAAACTTAGTAAAGATGTCAATGAGAACATCTAAAAAAGGAAATAACTTCAGAGGTAGGAAAAAAGTCATTTATAAATAATGCACTATTACCAACCGGATCTCATTCGCCATCATGTCACGGCTAACTACTTCCAACATATCCTGCAGCAGTAAAACAACTGTATCTTTCTTTGATGGATCACTATCTTTCTGCAACATAGGAAAAAAAATGACATTTACATCCATGATACTCGAAAGCCAGAAGTGTGATACAGAATGCGCCTCTATTATAAACAGCATACCAGTATCTCCACAAGTTCCACAAACTTCTTACAGAGATCGGGTAAAAACCTCATTCTGAAATTCGCAAGGAAAGTGTTCTTTGATATGTTGCTTTCAACCTCTTTTATGATAATGGCAATTATCCTGTTTCAGATGAGATTAGAACAGCAATGCACCAAATATATTTATCCTCGTTGCAGCATCTCAAGTTTTCTACGGAGAAAAAGTAAAGAAAAATATTGTGTGGTGTGATGCTTAACACCTACATTAACTTTGGTTTTGTGTGGTGTATTAATCAAATTCAAGGGGCCAATCCATGGTATATTAAGGTAGCACGAAGTTGCACATATTAATGCTTCTGACAAAGGCTAATATGAAAGTTGTTTGTATATCTGGCAAAGCCACGAATCACGAAGCACCGTGTATGGAATGTGGGGAGAGAATGACAAAGAGCATAGGTTGGGAAGGAGGAAAGTGCATATAATAATTCTACTAAAACGAAAAACTGCTTAATAACTACTCGTATGTAGTAAGAAATAATATGTAAATATATGTATGCAGTATGAAGTATAGTAGCAGGGAAGCCTTCAAATAGTAATATACTTCACAGTGATTATTAAATAGTACAACAAGAAACTGGAGTTTATGAATAATAATTGTATGCAGTATGAAGTATAGTAGCAGGGAAGCCTTGAAATGGTAATATACTTCACAGTGATTATTAAATAGTACAACAAGAAACTGGAGTTTATGAATAATAATGAACATGTACAACCTTTTCTCAGTCTCTCCAACAATCATGGCATTCAGTACCATTTGAAAAGACTTGTAGCATTCAATGACAGCACACTTCATATACTCATCAACACTTATACGCTTCCAAAGGTCGGTATCTTTTGACCGAAATTGAGCAGCCATATCTACTGCTACCGGGACCTACAAAGATGGAGACTCAAATAATATAAACATGAATATATCAACATGTTTTTACCAGCTAAAAAATAAAAGCATTTTTCTTTTTGCCTTGCTAGCAAGCAAAAATGGAGGCCACTGAATGAGTTTCAAGCTGGGATCTGAAGAGTAAGGAACCAGAAGCAGATCCATTTCCCTGAGGTAGATAATTTCAGGTTTTTGGTCAATTCCATATTAAAATAGATATACAGGAAATTATATATAGAAACATTGTAGTTCCAGGGGCTTTTCCTGTCACTTATGAGATCTTCTTCACGGAAGCTACATATTACTTCATTCCACAACTGAGCAAATTTTGCAGCTTCACTTCTGGCATTGACCTTCAGATAGAAGCAAACAAAATGGATAAATAATAGCCATTAGTTAGGGAGGCAGAAACATATCAAGTCTGCATGGGGTTAAAGAAACCTCATGGAAGTGCTTTGAAAGAGAGTATCCTTTCTTCCTATCTTTGTCAGATGGCACCAGACTAGCATTGAATGCACCAGGTAAAGATTGGAAGCGTGATCTTAGCATTCCTAGTGTTCGAATCTGTGAAGAGGCAAAAGTGAACACAGAAATAAACAAGACGGGATAAAAAAACATTTTATTAATATTGACTTAATGATACTATCAGTGTTAGAGATATGATTCGATAGTTTCTCCAATTTTTCATTCTGTATTCTCGATCTTATAATTAGGGATATTCATCATTGCAGTTTCTTGATTCAAACAATAATTATAAAGTATTTATGTAAGCCTATATGGGAGGATACTTGCTGACAGTCATTCACTACTCTTTTCAGTGTCTGCTTCTTTTTTCTTTTTCTTTTTTCCTTTTTTTTTTGTTCCGTCTTCGAATCATATTTCTTTTTAAAATAATTATANAAAAAAAAGACGAGGAAAGTGACAGGAAACTATATCAAGGAAGACGAGAACAATTTTATCATCATTTGAAGCAATGGTGAGGTTACCATTAATTAGCAAATCAAAGACCATCAAGCCTTCCCTAATGGCAGAGATTAAAAAATGATTAATTTCATTTTTAGATTTTAACAAAATAAATATTTAATAATAGCAATTTGAACCTTGATCATTATACTTCATCAATACATTTTACATGGTTTATCATAAAATATAATCTCTTTTGTTAAATGGGAAAATAGTTGATATGATAAGTATAAATCCAATAAAAATATTATTTCATATCGCCAGAAATTTATTATGCATCACAAGCGTGGCACGTGCATCTTTTTGGTTCTTAGAAAAAGCAAGTAACAGAATACAGTTACTAGATCAAGGCAGAGTATCTAGACACAACTCTTAAACATGTTAACTTCTTTGGCTGAAACTTCTCGGTGGATTAAAGTCTTATTAATTACAAACCATGAGTCTTATTTTTTATAATCAAGCAACCTTACACATTTCTTCATGCCCCACATTCCACAAAAATACCAAACACATCAAAGTTGATTCTCGTTTCATACGCAGAATTGTGAGAAAGTTTTTTCTGAAGGGATCACTACATCATTCTAATGATCAGTTAAGAGATGTTTCATCAAGTCTCTTAGAGGTCCAAGAATATCTTGCATATTTAGGAAGTTAGACACACGACATTTATGCGCCTGATTGAGAGGCAGTGTAGAGATATGATTATCTAAGTTTCCTTAATCATTCATTCTTTTAATTACGACCTTAAAAATAGCGATACTAATTATTTGATTCAATCCCTATAATTATTGGATTTTGTCTATATCAGTCGCCCATATCAAAAACATACTTGCTGAGAGTCTCTCAAGAAAACATTCACTACTCCTTTCAAGAATGAACAAATGATGAACTGCAAAAAATACGAATAGCTTCCAACATGGAAGATACATAAAGGGATAAGAGGGTGGTAGTAAAAAAGAAATTGATTACATGTATGTCATGTACTTATGACTGTTTACCGTGTATTAATTTTATTATTCACTCTAGTAAACAAAAAACAGTAAAAAACCATCATGGTTTCAAACATAAGTAATGATCAGTTTATATGCATAAAATCCTTGCTCTTAAATCTCTTTATATTATAATCACTTCCATGGGGGATGAGATTTCTTATTGCAGATTGGAAGAAACAGTAAGCACATACTCAGACTTCGTAACTATATGCTAACATAACAATAGGAAAACTTCAAACCAATAGACGGGATTTTTGTTGATAATTAATAAATTAATTATTTTCAGCAGTGATCAGTACCTCGCCCAGACGATCGAAGGCACCAATAAAACCTCCACAAAAAGTAGAGAATATAGCATACCAAATCTGGGTGTCCATGAAGTAAACCTGAATGCAATTATGACAGCTATGTAACTATTGAGAATAAATACTATTTCGATTAAAATTGAAACAAATGTAGACATAAAATTCATATTAGAGTAAATATGTGAATGGTAAGAGAGACCGACAAGGATAACTGGTGCCCACAGCGCAACAACAGCTCCATAATTATGCTTAGCTGCATTTGCACAAGTATCTCAACATGTGAACCTTCAGAAGAAGTCTAGGCAAAAACTAAAAGATTTTAACACATACCATCAAGGAAGAACTCGTGCCAAGAATAGTCAACGTGATTAATTCTCATTATATCTTGTGTTGGCTTTACTAGAGGCTTTATCTGGTCCAAACAAGATCCACGTACAAAGGAAAAAATATTCAAAAGCCAGCACTTCGTATTCAATTGACAGACCAAAGGATGTGAAACACACCATCAGAAAATAGTTGAATGCAAATTTTGAACACAGAAGCAACACCCAAAACAGACTGTACCTGTTACATTAGGACAACAATGAACATTTTCAATGTCACAAGTTGAAATAAATCAAGTGATGGCATAATGAAGGACAAAACATACTTGATAAGTGCAAATTGACTTTCATGCATTCCCCTTCCAACATAGATTCTTGGCTGCAAAGAGATTTTATACAGATTAATACAATTGCTGTGGAAAGAAAGGAGCGGCTTAATTTACAGTAAAGCTTATGAAATTTCCTCATTTTTCACACACCTCTTCTACAGTGTTACCAATGGCGGATGGCGGAAATGGCGGCAGACTGAAATCCCACCATGGCCGCCACAATGGCGGCTTGTGGCGCCGCCATAACCACCATCCTTCACAAATTTTTAATGGCGATTAGGCAGAAATCTGCCACGCCATATCGCCATGCAGAAATTTTATAACACTGCTCTTCTAAATCTTAATTCCAAGCAGTGTACAAAGACAACGCAATGAATTCCATACAAAATTTGAACAATCACTATGTATAGCACTGTGGAAGAGCTGCAGTGCTTGACCATTTAGTTAGATAAACATCTATAAATAATTACCGGGTGAGATATAATACAAACAGTCTTTTGTCTGCTGATGTACAAAGCAATAATTGTGACACCTTAGATGTCATACACTACGAATGAACCATCATTTTGCTAACTTGACTCGAGAAAAAATAGTATCAAATAGAGAGAACATATCAACAAACATAAAAGAAGTTCAATATCAATGAGAAAAGAAGCAGTTTAGTACTTAGTATGTTGTACATGTACATTCCATAAATGGAAACTATAAATCGATGCATCACCAGAAATATATGAGACAATTTCATGGCCTGATGGTGGCTGTCTAGATCAGTTGAATCTCAGCCACTTCATTACTAGTTGGAAAAGACCTAGAAGTTTATCTTATTTTTCTGTTATGTAATAGGCAGTGGAGGAGCTCATAGATACTCATTAGTGCATGCCAGCTTTATTTTTCCACACAAGAATGAATATGTGCACATGAGTAGAGAACAATAACGCATACCTGCGACCACCAAAGGAGAAACCTTATGATAAGCCAATCAGAGTTCTCGATCCAACGCCGCAGCATAGGAAAAATAAAGAGCACTGCTGCTAATAAATTTGGGAGCAGGTACACAGCTACCATCATGATGTATAAAGAAGGCACACCATTGCTGTTATCAAGGAATGTGAGGATATATTTGATTTTTCCAAAAGACATTGAATTCTTTCGGGGCACGTAACACATAGGAAGAATGATGGACCAAGAAAGGCCGACAATTATCTTTAGTATGTTCCGTAAAATATCAGTGAACTTCCATCTTAGATATCCGGGGAAGTTTAGAACAAAATCCAGGATGCCTGAAAGCAATTTCAGAAGCAAATTGTCGGTCAAATAATCAAAAGCAGTGGAGGTTCAATATTCTCACTAGCCATGCTCCCAAACAAGAATATACAATATGCAATAACATGCTAGAGAATCTCACTTATGAAAATAGACAACATACTCTGAAGAAAGCGAAGAAAAGCTGCTGTGATGAAAATACTGGACAAGTTGTATAAGATATTTTTCTCGAAGATATAGAAGACAGAAACTTTACTCCAAGCAATAATAATCATGATCTGCAGGAAGAATCTCATTGTTCAATGTAAGCACCTTAACAAAGGATGAGAACTTCAATATTATTCCATTTTCAGCAATCTAATTAGGTACCTGTAGAGCTAGTATAAAAAAGGTCCACAGACGGTCAAAACTTCGAAAAGTATGCCACAATGTCCGGGTTTCCACAAAGAATGACTTTCCCAGGTTTCCAGGTTTTCTCTGAGGAGCCCGTTTTACCTGAAACACCAGTCCTAATACTGCTGTGAACAACATTCCCCCTAAGCAGCTTAATGTCCCCTGAGTGTTGATCTTACCTGTGGTACATCTCGAATTGATTTGAAGAACTCACCATCATCACGCATTGGCCAACCCAAAGAAAAGCAATCTGATGACCTACAGTAATTTGCCAAATCATAGAATGATACAGAATGGTGTTGGTATCAGCAATAATCACTACTTGTAAATTAAACGCTTTACCAGAAGTACTCATTTAAATCATCATAATTGCACCAGGCTGAGTGGGGGGCTTTCCCATTTTTTCCTTTTTTGGCTTCCTAAAGAATAAGAACAATTATATTATATACAAAGCATGAACATATGTGCATTCCCCTAAAACAAAAATAGTACCTTTTCAATGACTCGGTAAATAGGTGTAACAACTTTCCGCAAGAAAGATTCATCATCCCCACCATAAGAAGGCTTAATGTTTTCACCAGTAACAATGCTGACATTTCCAGCTAAGAGCCCATGAAGTTCATATGCCATCTGAACACCAACTCATATAACCCAAAAAACTAACATTTTCAAATCCATATACATCATTTCAGCCAGACTATTTCAGGGCAATTTTTTCAACATCAATTGGCTATCATTTAAATGAAGTAAATGACTTGCATTGTGGAAAATGTAGCATAGGAACTCTGGCATGAACCGAACATTAGCTGCTTCACCCCAGATAAGAAGATAAAGGCCCATATAAAGTAGCTTTCTTGGTTGCACTTCCTCCTTCCCCTCGGGGAGCCTATGAACATCATGGGGCAATTATTAATAACCAGAAAATCCGTATAGCAGAAAATGTAATTAGGCTATTGCAGAACCCCATTATCTCACCTTAAACTGTGTTTTTTCCCCAAGTACTTGCACCAGGTCTTGTAGTTCTTGAAGAGTTTATTCATGAGTGCATTAACAGCTCGATCATCAAGCTATCAATAATAGTAAAGTGAATGCTGAGTCAATCTGATGCTAAAGTAAAACACTGTGAATCATTTAAAATTAAAATCTGTAGGGAAAACTCCTTTAAGAAAGTAAATCTATAGCTTCAAGCATGTGATCAGTAGCATTTTAGGGTAACATCACTCGGATTCAAATGAAAACTAGTCATATCAAAGTGAAGTATTTCCTATATGCTCCCTATGATTGTATCAAAGATATAACTTTGTAGCAATCCAGGCAAACAGATAGAGATACATACTTTTGTTTGTGGTTCAGGCCTGGGGATTAGCCTTGCATGAATATTTCCAAGCAACAAAATCAAGTGCTCCCTTTGGTTCCTGACATTGTCTCTCTGCAGATAGCAACCGAGTAACTTTTAATATCTTCATCCATAAATAAGAAAGAGTAAGGATTAATACTCTGAATAAACAATTAACAAGACGTGCCTGAAACCCAAACATTGCTCTCAGCCAATCAAGCAGGTCCAACTCCCTTGCTTTCTGCCGCTGTTGCTCAAATGAGGCAGGCCAGGACAAGCCAACAGTGTTCCGTAAAGCAGACACAGAAGCTTTAACCTGGCATCATCACATCAGGCCACTACTAATATTAAGAAAAGATATTTTGTATATCAAAACAGCGCATCGATGGTACTATGAACCTTGTAGCTCTAGTGACATCTAACGGTTTTAATTGTTCAGTTCAAAATTTGAGTTTTATATTTTGTCCCTTCGAACAACTCCATCAAACTCATGGGGAATAAAAAAGTTCATGGTGGTGCAAAATATATCACCTCGTCAAGTTGCATAATGGACTGTGAGGCCCCTGCAGAATCCAGTGGAAGAATGTTATAGGGAGCATATATTTCCCTTTTCGCCTGGACGTCATGTGCTGCAGCCATTATCTGTTTGATAAAAGTTGATTTAACATGGCTAAAATAATTGAGAGATCAATTTCTCAATTGTGCATGAAATTTGTTAACAAACGAGTGTGATATATATAGTGAGGGGTGTAAAAAAGGCACACCATCTAACAATACATAAACAGTTAATTAACTATGAAGAAAACTAACCTCAGGAGAAACTTCTTCAACTCTTTCAGTTTTGTTAACAGCACAAAGAACTTCAAACAGCACACCAGCTGTTTGATAGGCTTTTCCAAGCTGAGCTCTGGGAAAGGAAAGCTTAATTATAATACATTTATACGTATATTATTCTCTTTTCAAATGAATAATTTGACAAGAAAATAACTGCTATGAAAAGAGTGAGTTCAGCTGAGCACCTATCAGCTTGGTCCCCCTTGTTAAGTGCCAAAACATAGTCCTCGTAGTATTGCTTGTAAAAGCTTTCAATTTCATGTGCGTCTGTCTTCTTGACCCGTACAGGAAGACTTGATGCATTGTCCTTAAATGGAGTTTACAAGTAAGCGTATCTTTACACATAAGAGAAACAACTAAGAAAATATAGATAAATAATTAAGTCTCTTGCATTAAACTGTGAACATGGCCTACATTACATAGATCCAAATGTAAGAATTATTTGTAAGGCATTTTATTGTTTCAATTGGTAAAATTTCAGAACAGCTCCTGGACCCATTAAGAATCAGTATATCGACCAGTAGCCAATTATAAAGTGCTCACAGAAACAATCATGAATCTCAATCAATTTATTATATTATAAGGTTTCAATCAACTTCAACTGGGACATGTCCGTTAGGAAGGTCAAAATTGTGGTGTCCAACATACAATTTATTAAAACAAAATCTAGATATTACTCCAAAAAATATGTATAGAAACAATACTAAGATCCTATAACCTATAATGATAATGCAAAGCGACTCTTTAGGTTTTGTACCTCTCCCACTTCAGAAAAGCAACTTTGACTAGATTAACTCTGCTTTAAATTTAAACGTTCCTCCATTATTTTTATGTAAAAGAACGTCGCCAAACATTATCATTAAAAATAGGTTTGATGAGAACATTATGATTACCCGTTCTAGTCTTTGATGGAGACTAGTCTTGAATTGTCGAACACCACGTCCAGTGGAATTGGGGTCCAATCTATTCGCCTTCTCAAAGCCATAAAATCGACCTATTCAAAATTGAATAAAAACGATTAAACAAATCTTATGCTTCAAGAAGAGGCATGTAACATTTTCTGGAAAAACACAAAGAAGCTTATAAGTTGAAGGCTGAGTACTAAACTGAACCACAGCTGATTCAACAAAGGAAACGATAAAACTTGTAAGTTAAATTTTCAGTAGTACACAGATTTTTTATCATGAAATGAAATTATTCTGGACCACGTGCCACCAGTAAAGGAAAGATGCAGTTCATTTGTTAGGTTCTACTGAAATTATATTTGCAATACCAGTAACACTGTGAAATACAAGATCTAAAGACTGAGGTGCAACAGGACAATGATGCATATTGAACTTATCTAATAATAATAATCTTCATTCAAGTGCATACTGCAGAAGACGCACACTCATACATGCAGGCGGGCACACTCACACACACATTCTACAAAATAAACCCTTAAAATTCGTCTGAGCGTGCCCAAACATAGAATACGCAATAAAAGGTTTAAAAAATTAAAGGATGGCATTAGGTCATTGTAATGAATGGTGCGATAGCAGAGAGATGACTGGAAAATGGAACAGGAACGCACAGAGGTAGGCTACACGCGGACGTTCATTCTGGATCTCAGCAGCAACACGGAGAATTGGGGCAATAGAAGACTGGAGTGAGGACGGGACCACCTCATTATCAAATACCTCCGTCGAGAACATGGTGGTCGCGGCGCTACGCGACGGCCGTCTGTTCAACGCTGACTGGTCATAACTTCCCGCCGACGCCATCTTCAGTCGTGTATCGTTAATCTCGCCTGTTCCTTGAGAATTAACAACCAAATCCTCAGCCCAAGCTCACGGCAAAAGTTTCCCTCTCCTCCGCCGCAACGGACACACTCTCTCTCTCTATCTCTCTTTCTCTCACTCTCTCTCTCACTCTCTCTCTCTCAGTCAGCTTCCAGAATCTGATCGTCAACCTCTAATATTCAATGGAGGAATTTTTTATTTTTTTTTTTCTGGAGAAAAGTAACAAAAATGTGCGTGAGTGAGTTGTGTGTATACTTGAGGAATAAAAGGAATATGGAAAGGGGAGAGAGTTTGAAGCAGCGGGAAAAGAGAGGGAGAATTGAAATGAATAGGAGGAGGCG